TCGAATCTCTTCAGTTCGCGCTCTCTTGGCTGTTGCCGCTGCTAGTCGATGGGATCTATTTCAGATGGATGTTAAAAATGTATTTCTAAATGGAGAACTATCTGAAGATGTCTATATGCAACCTCCGCCAGGACTCTCTGTTGATTCAAACAAGGTCTGTCATCTTCGTCGTGCACTTTACGGTCTTAAACAAGCCCCTCGAGCTTGGTTTGCCAAATTCAGCTCCACTATATCTCATTTGGGTTACTCTGCCAGTTGTTATGATTCTGCCTTATTTCTCCGTCGTACTGACAAAGGCTCCATCTTCCTCCTCTTATATGTGGATGATATGATCATAACTGGTAATGATCCTAGTGGAATTCAAGAATTGAAGGATTTTCTGAGTCAACAGTTTGAAATGAAAGATCTTGGTCACCTCAGCTACTTCTTGGGACTTGAGATTACTCACTCTAAGGATGGTCTTTACATTACTCAGGCCAAATATGCATCTGACCTCTTATCTCAAGCCGGCCTCACTGATAGCAAGATCATTGATACTCCCGTTGAACTCAATACTCACTTGACTCCCGCAGGGGGGACACTGTTGTCGAATCCGTCACTTTACAGGCGTTTGGTGGGCAGTCTAGTCTATCTTACTGTCACTCGTCCTGATATCTCATATGCGGTTCATCAAGTGAGTCAATATCTATCTGCTCCAAGATCGCTTCACTATGCTATGCTGCTGTTCTACGCATCCTTCGATATCTAAAGGGTACTCTTTTTCATGGTCTTTTCTACTCTACTGAGTCACCTCTAGTTCTTCGAGCATTCTCCGATAGTGATTGGGCTGGAGATCCCATGTTAATGTATATTCTTAGGAAATAAGTTAGGGATTTGATTTGATATACTTTACATAAGTTAGGAGATTTGATTTCATTGTAATTAGTAATTTCCTTGTATAGCTTTCTCTCTATGTGTATAAATAGTGCCTCCTATGGAGAAGAATACACATCAATTTTTCCTCAATTCAATTAACATTCTTCTAAACATTTCTACCAAATATTAACTATTTACAATAAAAGATCCATGAATCATTAATTTTTCTGTGAAATTTTATTTTATAAGAAATTGTAATTTTTTCCCATAAATTCATTATTTTAGTTTGCATTTTATATGGTCCAATATATGTCCGAGGTAGAAAAAAATAATTATAATTTAATTTGTTATTTTACATTCTTGAAATAAAATATTAATACAACAAATTACCCTCATTAATTAAGTTAATTGTATTGAGAAAGCACGCTAGCATTAATACTAATAGTGTTCTGAGTGCATGTGACCTCGACACGTTGCCGGCTGCACCCGCCGCCGCCTGCGGCGGCGGGATTAATTTATTAATGAATGAAAAATCTTACCCTTTGGTGGCGGCGTAGATGGCGTAGAGTGGATGGGAAGGTACAATCGCCGATGCACCGGAACCAATATTAACGACGGCGCCTCTTCCCCTCGCCACCATACCCGGTACCACAGCTCCGGTGACAAAGGTTGTCCCGATGACATTAACCCTAACAAGATTCATCCATATTTTCTCATCCACCTCGTCGAAATACATCGCCTCCGGGTACGTAACCCCGACGTTGTTTATCAGAACCCCGATATCAAGACCCTTCACCGCCTCCTTCATTCTTGAAACTCCGGCGACCACGTCGCCGGAGAAATCCAGCTCGAAAATCTTGACGTCGATGTCGGGGTACTCGTTTCGGATTTCCGAAGAAACCCTTTTGAGCTTAGTTGAGTTCCGGCTAACTAGGACGAGGTTCAGGCCCATTCCGGCGAGTTTGAAGGCGAACGCTTTGCCTATACCGTCGGTGGAGCCGGTGATTAGTGCCCACGCGCCGTAGCTTCTCAGATCTTTCGCCGGTCGGAGAAAAATGTTGTAAAGCCATGTCAGAAGAGAAGTGGAGTTCTTGAAGAGAGAGAGGAAACCAAGACAAGAAATAAGTATAATCCCTAATGGCTGAGTTTTTAGGTAATCCAGTGTGCTCGAAAACATTTTCCGATCGAGCTTCGATTTTACGAATTCGTATCTAGAGAGTCGCTCGACCGATTACTTTGATTTAGCAGTATAAATAGGGCTTTTAATTATGTATATATGCATGAAAAATGTTCTTTCTAAATACACTGTGTAATATATATATATATATATATAAAAGTTACTTATTGCGGATAGTTAGATGCTACATCTACATCTGATCATTACATTAAGTGAATCTGAATTGTAGATTTCATAAAATAACTACCTACTAATAACCCACATACATATGGGTGTGTGTGAGAAATTATGTGTAAATCTACGATTAAAATATATCCAAATAATTAGATGTAGCATCTAATTTCTCGCGTAATAGTTTATGTCTTTTATATATCTTCTAATAGCAAATAAAGAAAAAATATATACATATTTCCATAGAGTCAAAAACATTGGGGAACAAAAATATTACTGTCAATTGTATCGATTTGCCTCCTTGTATTTAAAAAATTGTCTCACAGCTGTGGTTATCGCCGTTAGTTTTTAGACATTTACCGTTAATATCATTTGATCAAAGTCTGAAAACTACAAAAAAATCACCCCTTCCAATTTAAATAATTATTAAAAAAACTAAAAGATTTAAAAATGTTATATTTCAAGGATGCAAAGTGGGATTAAGCCGAAATAAAACTACAAAAAAATCACCCCTCGTTATCTTGAATTATTATTATTATTATTTTTAATAATTATTTAAACCGGGAGGGATGTTGTTTTTGTAATTTTATAGCTTAGACCAAATGGTGTTAAGGTCAAATGTCTGACAATTAAGAGTGAAGACTACATTGAAATAATTTTTCAAGTACATGGAACGCATCGATGAATTCAAATATAAAATAAAGTAAAGTTATATGAAGACAAAGTATAAGGGGAGCGTGGAATTTACAATAATTATTATTATTATTATTATTATTATTATTATTATTATTATTATTATTATTATTATTATTATTATTATTATTATTATTATTATTATTATTAAAAAAGTTCCTTTTATTTTGTTTTCAGAATCTTGTCTTTTCATGGGTCCGGGCTGATTGTTAAAAAGAAATAGATTGCGACTTTTATTACTGTCCACATACCTTTTCTTCATATATATTTTCACCTATATTTATAAAATTAACTATGTTTTATTTTTTTACGGAATAAATTGCGACCACTTATGAGGTAATGTTAAATTACGAAAAAATCATCCATGTTAATAATTACAATTACCATTCAATTATGAATTTTCTACATTTTGTGGAATGTTCAATAGTTTGTACTCGTTTTACGCAAAAATACAGTTTCTAATGCACCACAATCTGATATTTACGAACCGACAGACATATCTTATTTCAAAATGTGGAGCTCGAACGGCTACAAAATGGAGAATATTCCACATAATGTAGAAGATTCCACTAAATTTGACATCACAAAAGCGTACTTGTAAGAAATTCAAAATTGAGGGGTGATTGTAATTACCTAATCATGAGGTGTTTTTTCGTAATTTGACTTTCTCTCAGGGCGACCGTCATTTACCCTTTATATATATATATATAATGAGGTTGAAAGATTTGTGCTTTTTATCTCAAGTATTTATCAGTAAAAAGGAGGTTAAAAAATTTGTCCTCTGTATTAGCGACAGTAATTCACTATAGTAAAAGGTACGACTTTTTATTTACAAAAGGACAAAAATTAAACTCCGGCTGATTTAGAAGGGGGATTTGAAATATAAAACAAAAATCCAATAATTGGAAGAGCTTTAAAGCTTATTTCCATTTCATTTTGAAAAAAAAAATATTGTTTTGAGAAATAATATAGTAGTTTATTTATATTTTGTTCCCACATTTGTTTGTATTTACTGTATTTTGTCAAACTCTTTTTTGAATTTTGTTGCATTTTTCTGCAAAAATTTAAAGAAGATAGAATAATATTGTGAAGATATCCATCACATCCGAATTTGGAACAAGAGATTGCAAATTTATATAATTTCTAAAATTTTTGAAATCCCGCCAATTCCAAGGTATACCGAAATCAGGATGATTTTTTGCATTCCGATTTTTTTGGCACATAAATTGGAGCCCATTTTTTATTTTCGAAAAAGATTGGAAATTTTCTAAAAAAGTCAATTTCGATCTATTCCGTCCGATTTCCACCCCTAGCCCAAATCAAAACGTATATATTCTGAAAAAATATTAAAAGAATAATTTTGAAATAAAGTAATATGTATTTGTTTTATAATGAATACAATTTTGTTTTACTGCACATCCAACTCATGTTTAAACGAGAGGGAAATTTTTAAAATTGTTTGGAGAAAGTCTTTAAAAATCTTAACGAAACATTGATTAAATTGTTATGAAGGGTGGAAATAAAATGAAATGAGAATTAAACATTGCTAATTTCATTAAATTGTAATAATTCATTTTAAATTTAGGAAAGAGAGAAGTTATTTTTTTTGTAAGAAAAGATGATGAATATTATTAGGCAATATGTGCCAAATTGGTAGGAAGTGTAACACCTTCCGTGCAAGAGTGACCATAATATTTAGCTATCGCGTGGGCCAAACAATTTCCCGAGCGTTTAATATATTCAAAACAACAAGATGAAAAGGAAGACGCATCACAATACTATTCTCAATGTACGCACCAAAGGATGTCGAGTTGACGGAGCAGTCCCGTAGGATTTGGATAACCGAGAGATTATCACCTTCAATGATAACTTTGGGCCATTCAAATTCTTTAGCTTTTACCAGAGCTCGGAGAACCGCATGAGCCTCTCCGTCTATCGCCTTTGGACGTCCGGGAATTTTATATGCAGGCCACCAGACACATTTACCACTATTATCTCGAGCAATGCACGCTAGGGAGTAGAATGTTTCTCCCACCGGAAATGCGGCATCTACATTAATTTTTATCACTCCTTTTTCCGGTGGCTTCCAATAAGCTGGATGACTTCTACTCTGAAGCTGAAGGGCTTTAGTCATTCCCTGGAAAGAGAGAAGTTATATCATATATGAAGTAGTCATTACTCATTAGTCATTACTATATATTATTCACTGCTGGGGTGTATGTAGAAAAGTCAAAGGGAAGGACACGTGCCATCCGTCAATGTAACCACTAACCACCTATTCAATGGCACGGACTAGCGCTTCGAAGCTGGATCGAGTTTGTTAAACATAAATTGGCTTGTACGATTTACATTTTTTGTGTAATTTTGTGAATTATTGCACGAGAAATTGGTATTCTGTTACTCTCTCTCTCTCACGCGCGCATACACACACATGTACGGTTCTCGAATTTCGAGTTTGCACCGGACCACCGGCGGTCGGTTCTTCTTTCGATTTTTTTATCTT